CGCTGGCGGCTGTTAAGGAAAAGGGGGTCCCGTGAGCCCGAGTCCCGTCCCGGCAGTAGGGCAGCTGACATGTCAACTGAAATGGTGCCGTTGCGGCCAGTGACCGGACCAGCGGGTTCCACTCCCTTCCCTCTGCCTCCGACGAGACGGCCACTACCGGCTCCACCAGTTACCATACGAGAAATCGACTATGTCGGCACGGATGACGACGGGCCCCGGGAGACAACCTCAAGGCGGCCGCGCCGCTCCTCCCGCCCCCGTGCTCGTTAGCTCGATCACCCCAAGCGACTCAGTGAGATACACAGCGATCCGGGGGGGGCAGGTGTATTGGCGAACAACGCGTAAATCACAAGCCAAGGGCCGGCACGCTAGCCCAGCGTCAGCGCCGCCTCGACCCGCTGAAGCGCGCGGGCGGTCGAGTTGATGTGATCCATCAGGGTTTCCAGCCGGGCCGATTCGGCGGCGATCCGCTGGATCTGCTGGTGTTGTTTTTCCAGCCCCGCCCGTAAGCCACGGGTGGCATTGACCACGATCTCCATCTGTGAAGGTGAAATGAGGGGTCAATGACATCCGCCGTCCGAGCGGGCGAACAAAGGGCGAGGGGCAAACTGAAGTAAACACCGCGGCTCCGCCTGAAATTACCGAGGGCAAGGGACAGAGGATGGGCGTACGAGGGGGGTTCAAGGCTGAACTCGGGACAAGGCTACTGACCGATGAGATCGGGCAGTCGGGTTACAAGGCAGGGAAAACAATCATAATAGTTTCACGTACAAAATTTAACCGTTGGTGTCGGTGACGACATGTATATGAACCGCTGTGATCATATGCATGCAAACATGAGGCTGAACATCAATGATGAGTAGGATCGTGCCATTATGCCACGCCATAAACGGGTGTCAATGCAATTATGCATTGGCAGGCGATTAAACCGGCGCGCGCATAATGCACAAAAAGTGCCTGCTATTATATCACGCCATGAACAGGTGTCAATCCACTCGCGCATTGGCAGGTGTTTACACAAGCGTGCATATAATGCACGTATAGAACCAGAGTGCATGCTATCATACCACGCCATAAATATGAGCCAATACGACCAGCATTGTTGCATATTTATGACTGCGTGCGCATGATGCATGAGGCGTCTCCTAATACGAGCGCCATTATATTCATTTCATTAGTCAAGTAGATACAGAACCAGAGTGCATGCTATCATACCACGCCATAAATATGAGCCAATACGACCAGCATTGTTGCATATTTATGACTGCGTGCGCATGATGCATGAGGCGTCTCCTAATACGAGCGCCATTATATTCATTTCATTAGTCAGGTAGATACAGAACCAGAGTGCATGCTATCATGCCACGCCATAAATATGAGCCAAAACGACCGGCATTGTTGCATATTTATGACTGCGTGCGCATGATGCATGAGGCGTCTCCTAATACGAGCGTCATTATATTCATTTCATTAGTCAAGTAGATACTAGTGTAGTACATGGAGCATAAGGCTCAAACCACGAACTTATAGACGGTCAAACACACATCGCCTACGTGTGCTGAGGCGGGCCAAATATCGATATAATGTGCCCACGCGAGAGCGGGGACGTTATATCCGTATTCCGTACCCGTGTGAAAACTGATTGATCAGTGGCCCAAGGACAGGCCAGTTCAATGCTTACCTGAGGCTCCAGCCCGGAGAGCTTGAATAGGACTGGTACGACCAGTCCCAGAAGGCCGAGGCACAGAAGCGTTACCATCACGAACCCGAGGATCCGGCAGATGTTGCACATGATGTAAAAAAATAGAGATGCGTACTGGCAGAGCGCAGAGCGGTGAATGACGCCCGGGTGCGGTCCCTGGTCGTTCGTACACCGATTCGAACACATGTCGGGAGCATGTTCTCTCAATAAAATATCGTCCCGACCTCCCGACGACACAGTCGTGGGGCCAATATATCCGCTCGCGGCCGGTCGCCATGTGTGACGCGGAATCGCGTGAAGAGACGCATCGCGCGGGGCAGGCCGACCAACGCCGCCCAATCATCAATAACCATAACCATTACCATTTCGTAAATGGAGAAGGCAGCGCCTTGGTGCGCTAGCGCGCCCATCCGCGCCGCGTGATCGCCAGTCCCCACTCCTCGTGGGCTGACGCGAGGGGAGGGGGGAGTCAATCACCGCGCGGCTTGGGACCCGGGCGGGTCCTTGACCCTCCCGGCCAGAGCCACACAGTCTATCCCTCCGCCGGACGGTTCAGCACCCGTTGGAGGGGTAGCCTCTGAGGGCCTGAGAGAGAGAGAGAGTGACCGGCGCAGGTAGAGCGGGAGAACGGCCACTGGCCATCCTGCCCCGAGGGGAGGATGGCGAAGTGGCGCCGCCCGCCGGCTGATGGCATTTGATAATGATGTTGACGGTGCGCGTGGGGTGGAGATGGTAGGCGATGGGGTGGTGCAAGCGCGAGGGGGGGTTGAAGTAGGGGGTGGGGCGTAGCTTAATGAGTGTGGGTGTGAGGAGATTGGGGTCGTCTTTCATCGGCGGCGTGGGGAGCCGGCGAACCGGGGTCATGGCCGGCCGCCGTGCTTCACTGCCGGCGGTTTATGTAAGGGGGAGTGTAGGAGGGCATATTATGTGTTAATGTATAAGAAATGGGTATATTTAGAATGCGTCGCGCGCGCAAGAGAGAGAATCGCACGAGAGAGAGTCGCGCGAGACAGAGAGTCGCGCGCGCGCGAGAGAGAGAGAGAGAGTCGCACGAGAGAGTCGTGCGAGAGAATCGCGCGAGACAGAGAGTCGCGCGAGACAGAGTCGCGCGAGAAAGAGAGAGAGAGAGAGAGAGAGAGTCGCACGAGAGAGTCGTGCGAGAGAGTCGCGCGAGAAAGAGAGAGAGAGAGAGAGAGAGAGTCGCACGAGAGAGTCGTGCGAGACAGAGTCGCGCGAGAAAGAGAGAGAGAGAGAGTCGTGCGATGAAGCGCCCGAGAGCGCCGGTCGGCACGCGAGGGGTGGACCGCCGCCGCGCCGTGGGTCGTGGGGAGGGACGGGGCTGGGGGAGGGCAAGGCAGGCGTTTGATTGTGTTTGTCCGGGCACTGGGGAGGGATGGGTCTCGGGCTGGGGAGGGAATGTGTTTGCGCGGGTGTGGGACGGGGACAATGACCGGGGTTTGGGAGTATGACCGGGGGAGGGGAGTTTAAATGACGAGGGAGAGAGACGACGGACGATGCGGCGGAGGAAAGGAGACGTGACGGAATAAGGGAGCGATCAGATGACAGCAAACGACTGAGCGAGCGAGCGCATGGAAATGTTGGCCCCGAACACATGACCGAGCAAGTGCCAGTCAGGCGCGGAATACCCTATCCGCTGAACATCAAGGTCCGAGGATCACGACGCATTTGCTCAAATCACGTGTTCGCGGCCAATTACTGAGGTATGTTTGGGGCGCACGCGGGAAAAGGGTTATGGACTTGGTGAGGAGGAGGGATGACGGATTGTGAGTGAAAGAGCAGGGTCTGAGACTGATATTGAGACTGAGACAGAGACAGAGACGGAGACAAAGACAGAGACAGAGACGAAGGCTGAACAGAGAGAGTGAGAGAGAGAGAGAGAGTAAGCGATAGAGAATAGAGAGACAGAGAGAGAGAGAGAGAGAGGGAGAGAGAGAGAGAGGGGAGAGAGAGAGAGAGAGAGAGAAACAGACGAATGAGAGCGGGGAGTGCATGGATGTGTGAGACCACCAGCTAACGTGAGTGGTGGATGTCGGCCCGGTTTTGGGTTAGGCATGCTGTATTACAACTGTGGTTAGACTAGTTTCTACATGGTGGTGGACTGGTTCGAGGTTTCGCTGTCATTAATAAAAATCCACATTCCCATTCAAAATTATCGAACGGTCACAAACCTTTCCCCATAGTGAATGCTGTAACAGATGAAGCGTAACAAGGTAACTACATTTAGTCAGATTTCATGTGAACCGAGGCTGCAAGTGTTAATGATTCAGAAAAATGTATGCCGCAGAGTGTCGCGATGTGTGTATGTGTGTTATGTACGGGCCAGAATGATTGAGGGGAGGGAAAGCCCCTGCTCTCCCACAGGCATGTCGCCCGGTCCGCCGGCCGCCGACCCGGAGCCAGCGGCGACCAAGACCTCGGCCGTACGGGCCGGGCGACGGCGGTGATCCGTTCTCCAACTCGCCGCACCGCACGCCAGCCGCCCCGCCGCTCCAGCCGTCTGCGCGGCTGCCCGGAAGCCGCGGCACTCAAGAGCCGCGGCGGTACGGGCGGCTGCGCTCGGCTGCTGACCTCGCCGTTCCGGCCGTTCACCTCGCCTCCCGGTCCGCCGCAGCATTCAAGAGCCGCGGCGGGAGGGACGACGCTCTACCGCCCATCTCGCTGCCCAAAATGCCCGCTGCCCCGCGCCGATCCCGCGGCTACTACTGCCGCGCCAGCTCGGGGCGGCGGCACTCGCCCACGGACCTCCGCCCGCCCGCCTCCAGCGACGATAACGCCCGCGGCAGGACGGGAGCGGCGGCGCTCATACGGCCATCAGGCCGCGCTATCCGCCAGCCGTCCCGTCCAGCCCCCGGCAGTACGGCGGGCGGCGGAGCTCGGCCCGTCTCACCACCGCGCCGGTCAGCAGCCTGCGGCCGCCCCACTGGAAACCGCGGTGCCAATGGCCGCGGCGGTACAGTGTGTGACGGCGGCCGGGCCGGCCGACCTGACGGCCCCGCCGGCTCTGCACGGGCTGGAATACAGCCGAACCACCTGTCGACAGCCGCCCGATCCAGAACCAGCGGCCCGAGTATCCGCGGCAGCATATGGTCGAGCGGCAGCTTCAGGTGCCGGCCGTGCAGAGGCGCCACATGACAGCTCCCGGGGGTCGACGCCCTCCACCGGTGGCGTACCCAGCTGGCGGCAGCGTGACAGGCGGCGGGCACGGCGCACCACCCGCGCCCATGAACCGCCGCCGTCGCCGCCGCCACCGCCACCTGGTGGTTGATCGACGCCCTATACCGGTGGCGTACCAAGCTGGCGGCAGCGTGACAGGCGGCGGGCACGGCGCACCACCCGCGCACATGAGCCGCCGCCGTCGCCGCCGCCACCGCCACCTGGTGGTTGATCGACGCCCTATACCGGTGGCGTACCAAGCTGGCGGCAGCGTGACAGGCGGCGGGCACGGCGCACCACCCGCGCCCATGAACCGCCGCCGTCGCCGCCGCCACCGCCACCTGGTGGCGCGACCCCGGGACGCCTAGCGGGAGCCGTCCAACTCTGAGGCGGGCTGGGCAGAAGGAGACGGTCGCCACGACACCTAGCGGCGCGCGAGCACGCACCTTACAAACGGGGGCAGTAGCTGCAGCTCGGGAGGTCCCGGACTGTGGCGGTGGCGCTGGGATGAAGGTACGGCCGCCCAAGAAGGCGGCCATCTATCCAGGTGTCCACCGCCCGCTACAACCGGCCATGGGCAGCAGCGTGCGCCCCCGGCTGTGCATCGCGCGCCGCCGTTCGAGGCGGCCTGTGCAGCGCGGATAGACTCAGGGCGGAAAGGAAGGAGCGGAAGGAACTCGAGGTGATGCGGGCGAGCGGATCAGTGCGGGCTACGGATTGGAGCGGCGAACAATACGGCAAGCGTGTGATGCGATTGGCAGGAGAACGGACACGGACGAACATTGAGAGGGAGCTTGGGACTGGGCGATCGAGTGTAATGAACTGATGTAAGTTGGATGTATGTGGTATGAATGATTCAGGCAGGATAATTATTATTATAGATCATAGCGCAAACTTCACCTGGAGAGTAAGGGGACCCCTTTTTGACCGTTCGAGGGAGGGGGCATTATTATGTAAGGGCAAAATTCATACGTCGGAGAGAAGCGGCGGGCCGGAGTACCAGGGTGCGTGTAAGGCCAGTCCGCCGTATGATAGCCTCCGGCGGGAAAGGCGTGCCCGCCGGGTGAAAGGCTGCGGCTGGCCGGCACCTGGGACTCGCGGGCCCGTCTCTCGAGGCATTTGCCAGTGCGGTGTCGTCGGGGCAACATCTTTCGGTAAGCGAACTTTTCCCTCCCCCCTAAATTAACGCCGCAGCGCCCAGGCGCTGCGGAAGTCCCCGACAAATGTCCTGGATTTCATTTGGCTTTCCGACCCGCCGCAAATAGCGGTGGGCACTCCCGTTTTATATCCAGGACAGTCCCATCTAAATTATAATTAATCGGCGCGGCGCGTGGCGTATATGAGTGAGCGATTGTAAGTGTGATGTGTATAGTGTGCGTGAGGAAAATGATCCGAGAGAATGACACTTCGTCCCGCGAGACCCAAAATACAATGTAATGGGAATGTGAGCCAAATCTTTGAATTGGGTAAAGGCAGATGCCGGGCTGATACACGGTGAACGTGAACGAACAATCATACGGGCCGCTTAGTTTAATACACCCGGGTGGCAGGCGGGCATTGTAGAGTAACTTTGATTAACGTAATGTCTGTACATGGGGGGAACCATTAAAAGGTTGCCGGTTCCGATGCTTGAAACCCCTACATGACGTCACATATTTGAAAGTTTGTGTTTGGAATATGGGAAGCTTAAGATGTTTAATGAAAAATAAATGCCAGAACCGTGTTCCTGGTCATCCAATCTATAAAGTCGGGCACAATTTAACTGGTTTTAACAACATTTTAGAAGGTGGGATAGTCCCTTTAAAGCATGGATGAAGGAGAACCAGGGGATGAAGGTTCTTTCATCCATGGTTAAAGTGTGCAATAAGAACTTCTTGGGTGAAGACAAGACCAACACTTTTATCAAGCTCACAGATTTTTAATGATACGGTATTTTCTCTCTACCTACTACGCCCTTCTCACATTCATTTTTCTTAAAGGGACTGTCCCACCTTAACATTAGAATTGAGTTGAGATAGCCATCTTGATGGGCGTTCTTTGAAAATCAGAGTCGTGAAAACCGTTTCTCCAGCAATTACTTCATCGCAAATAAATTCGTGTTTGATTTTGACATCTGTGCAAATAAGTGCCACAATGTATTGGTATTGGCACTTAAAACCTGTGACGTTTCCGCCTTTTCCGAAGTTTCTGTATCTGTCGACTTGTTTTTTATTGAAACCTTGAAAAATAACAACGCCTCTTGGAACAGCGCCCGGCGCCACGAGGTGGAGAATTAAATTGATATGCCAAACTAATTCTAATAGTCTTCTAATTCTAGCAGTATTTTTATTTTTGTATTTAAATATTTAAGAGGCCGTCCTACATGTGACTGAAGAATGCAAGAGCCATGAACTTATCAATGGCAGGGCAGGTGTCAAGTTCAAGTGTGCAACTCACTGAAATTAATCATAGTATCAAAATCATAAATGATTTGCTCACTGCTGTTTCAACTCCATAATCAAGACATGCTCTGAGGAGTCCACAATCTATTGATGGTGACAAATAAGGAAGAGACAATGAATGTTCACCTTTTTATTTCTGAACATCCAAGACGACTAACCTTGAGCCGTTAAACATTGATAATACCCTGTTTGCTGAAGTGTGGGTGGCCTGAGGTCGACCATGTCTAGTAAAGAACTGTTGTTTGTGTAAACACCATGCAGAGGTATTTTGAAATAAATTTTAGTGATGTAATGCATCATTCTTTGAACTGAGTTGCTGATGGCGGATGAAAGCGGAAGTGCTGCACGTTGAATCAGAAATGCTCTGTTGCGCTTTTAAGCTTATGTTAGATTTTATAGATGGCTTAGTTTTCCTGCAGATTTCATCTTAAAGCTGTCAATAGTGTTTTACCTTTGTTTCCTGGGAGCAGATCCAGCTACTAACATGAGCATGGGACCAGGACTGGGCCTTTGTACCACAGTCACTCAGTTGGTGACATACCAGGGAAATAAGCTAAAATTAGAGCACTCTATTTATTGCTCCTGCCCCATGTTGAAGAGATACCCCTAAAAGCGTGATCTTTTATCGGCCCTTACGCAGCAAGGCAGTAATTCTCAGACCGGTGGATGGTATCAATAGAAAGAGAATGCGTCAAGGATTAACATGAATTAATTAAAATAACATTAAAATGTTAATTAAGCGTGGAAATTAGTCCCAAACATAAGCTAATTATTGCTCCTACCTCGGCGACGGCGCTCCCCGCAGTCGGCGGAGAAGCTAAAATAAAAGCCACCATCCTCCTCCGCAAGTCAATTTTAGAGCGGCCGAGTGGGCCGATGCGGGGCCACCAAACTGAGGTGAGACGTGGCTAGTAATTGCAAACCGCCATAGAAATCAATATCTTAAGACGTACAATATGGGATGATTACTCTGAAGCTGGAGTGAAAGCATGAGTAGATTGCAAGAAACAAAATGCATAGATTGGTTGAATTATGTACAATAGGCACAGCTCAGATGAAGCCATTTCTATGATGTTGACATATGACATAACCCTTCCTCTCCTCACCTATGACCTAAGTGCATTGGCAGTTACCGGCATAGTTTTTGAGCACGAGTGCAATTCGCCATCGGACCGCAATACATGTTGCTAGGCTGCTGCAATTACAACGAACATACGAATACTGCCTTCATTTGTAGACGTTTGTTTTTTAGGCGGTCTTTGACGTGCAAGGGGGCATACCTGTCGACAACTTGAGTTTCTCCGAATTTCAAAAACTCCCAGAATTTCAATTCCTTATGCACTGTTGTAGGTACAGCTATGTTCACAAGTTTTCGTTTCCTCCTGTTCTAAAAAAGGATGATATTTGTCGATTTCGTGCGTCGCTGATAGGAGGGTGCGTTTAATAATTAGGCCCAACGCTTTCTGCATCCGCGAGTGGGTACCTTCAAAAGGGAACAACAGTTTCCAATCCATTTATTACACTATGGGACATGTGACAAAATGACCACTGGAACACGCATGAAACGGAGCTCATATTCCTAAAAATGTCTACAATCACTTCTTTTCTGACACTATTAGCAAATACCATCTCAAGTTAGGTGGTTGACAGACAGTCAATGGAGATCTGAGGAGACTGAGTGATGCCAATTCACCACTTAACTGATAATGAGGGCCAAGGGAAGAGAAACATGCAACATGCACAACTGACAACTTGACAAGTGACAAAACAGTACCACTATTGCGCAGTGCACAACCAAATTACAGCAGCCAGCCCAAAAAATGCTTTTGGTGGTTAATTGCAAAACAAGTCACTAATAAATGTCTTAGTTGCAGCTGAACACTGCACAATAATCACACTGTTCACACATTGAGTGAGATGCCACAGGTGTTTTGAATCACACTTTGGTTCAACTGCAAATCTGAAGTGTTGTCATGAGGTTCATGCCTCCATGATCACAGCACTTTGGTTGTGGTTGACATAACACTTGTAGTCTGCAGAGTTCCACATGAACTGCAGACACCTCATCTGGTGGTCTTCATGTTGCTCAACTTCTTCAGGAGGCAAATGTCGACCACCCAGCGGAAGCATGGTCCTGCAGAAAAGAAAGGTAATGCATAAGGTACAAACATTATCTGCTGAAACAGCTCCTTCTGTTGGCTGTTATTAAACTTTTAACATAGGTAACATAACAACATGTATTCTATGTATATTACATTTGTTGAAGTAAAATACTGCCGGCTATTTCAAAACCAGAAAATGAAATTATATTGTGGCATAATTCACCTGCTCAGGTATCAGTATCAAATAATTATTAATTTAATATTTGGCATATTCTATATAACACATTCATAGAATATTCTACTTCACGTCACAAGGACTCACAATCTTTCTGTTGGGTGTTTGACGCATTAACTAAGTTTGTCTTAGGTTTTATTATTGCAAAAAATTCATATTGCAATATTGTATCAAAATACTGCCAGCAATAACAAAACAAGAACATGAAATGCCAATGAGCAAGCCGCCTTTCCTTAAAATGGATTACTTTGAAAGGAATTTTAGTTTCTTTTAAGGAAAAGGAGAAATGATTATCAGGTAATTATCAGAAAACCACTCAACCAGCAAGTGGCTGGGTGGTTTCACAGCAAACATCAAGCCAAAACATATGCTTACATCTATCTAACAACTGAGCCATTTGACTACTACAAGGATATGTGAGCAAAATAAGAATCCAATTATCCAATGTTGACTTCCTTGCAAAGTTTATGCCTTATTTTATGAAAATGTGTCACTAGAATATGATACTTATCATCGAATATTATCTAATTTACGATTTATTTCGATCGGAATGCACATGGAGTCCCGCGCCATTTTCGTCGACGATGAATATGATCGTGTTTCATGAAGAGATAAGGGGTTTCAATGGTCTTTCAAAGCAATAATTTGATGCAAAAATTTGTAGGAAATAATATGAAGCTGGTTCAAATGGCCATCAACCATTTAAAACACCGAAAATACTCACAAATCCGTCCCGACGACCACGCAGCACCGCGCACGCCACACTACTGGCACAATGCCAAAACTGTTGTCACAGCGGAAATGTTTTTTTTTTCTCGATTGCAATTGTGGAATTATTTATTAAACAGAAGATGATCTTTCCGAAAAACCGACTGATTTCATACACAGATGCATGGAAAATAAAAAAATCCCTGTAAGTTTATTTGTATTGTTTTGTCGATTTTGACATGCTCCTAGTTTGCAGCCATATTTCGATATGTTCTACAGGGAGTTCAGAATTATTTCAGGACCAATCTTTTCCTCATTCATTTTCCCGTCGATCATGAAATTTTTAGAGCGGAACAATTGGTTTCCAGGCGGTCCGAGCGGTTTTCGTGAGAAGGGTGCAAAAATCGGCGTCATTTTTAGAGCCTCGACACCAGCTCAACACAGGACCCTATGGGAGACGGTGAAGTAGCGGGAGCAATAAATAGAGTGCTCTAATTTTAGCTTATTTCCCTGGTGTGTCACCGACTGCACTGCGCTGCTTGTCAAAACCTAGGTAATGTGCTTTGTTAGGCCATGCTGTGCATTTTTTAAACCTTTAGAGTACTTTGTGATCATTGACACACATATTGAACCTGACAAACAGCAGCAAAATCACACCCCATCCTTAC